ATAAATAGGGACAGAGGATAGCAAATTGGTGCTGCAAAACATGTTTTGTAATTCCTATAACTACTCGCAAAGTATTATGATAAATTTTTACCTTGGCTATAAAGTGATTTACATCCATTTTTTTTTCTTTATAGCTCGATGAAATATTTTAGGTTATTGTCTCTGAGGTTGTGACAGCGCTAGTGGGTAAATAAACAAACGAAAGTGGCGTCTTTATCTAATTAATGCTCAAGAATTGAGACACTATAGAAATTGACCAGACCGGGAATCGAACCCGAAACCTCAGAAGTGGCAACACCTTGACACCGGCATGCGAACCACGGTTCCGGAGATTATTAAGACTTAACAGTGAAACATATCACATTTATTAATTCTTAATGTTTTTAATATTGTATGTTTAATTTACACTTTAAATGGGTTTTATAAAATAAAATAATCCACTTTAAAGAGATACATTAATATAATGTTTTTGAGATAATATATCATTGATATATAATATAGAAATTTTCATTAATTCACACAGAATATTAAAAGAAAATTATTTTGTATTAATACATGTAGTATTCAATTCTGTAGTGCTTTTCGTATGTTATTTCTATTAAGACATTGTAAAATTGATCATAATAATAAGTTGCCATAGTACATAAGAAAGTAAATCAATACAAACTTCCCACATTTTGGGGTAATCGTTTTACACTATTATCACCCATGTCACTCACATAAATAAAACTTTGTTTTGAATAAATGCTCTTTACTCGTTGTTCACGCACATTCTAATCTCAAAAGGCTTCACAATTGTCGCTGCGCTTTGTAGGGTACACGGAATCTGGAAAATATATAATCTAAGCTTTCATGCTTTTTAGTGATATTGATATTTTTTTATATAATAATAAAAATATTAAATATCTATGAAATTAAAATATTTAATATAGTGAAAGTCTTAGAATAGGAGATTTTGTTAGTATAAAAAGACGTAGTACGTACTCTACGTACTCTAGTATACGTAGAGTATAAAAATATGTATCTTACCTCTCCACGGAGGAGTGACACGACTGTTTTCGAAATTTGTTGAATAGTATGAAACTGTGTATGTTCACATCGCAAAGGGAAAATATTTTAAGAAACAATAAATTTCTTTTTATTGATTCCGGAAGCTTTTAGTACGTCTGACGTATATGTTACGATCAGTAACCCTGAAATTATTAGTTCATCTTATTCTGGTGGTTAGATGATGGGAAAGAGTGAGTGTTTAAAGTATTTAGTATTTTCTCTTGTTTCATAGTTTTTAAAAGATTTTTAAATTCCGATAAGATTCGTCAAACGTCTAAAGAAAGTACAAATTTGCTACAAATGTATCTTTCTAGAAGTATGCAAGGTTTTATCAGTTCTAGTATTCGCCGATATATATGCATCGGCGAGATTCATTTTATAGACAAAATTTTGCAAGAGGTTTGTAAAGCTTGATATTGCAATATGTGGAAGTACTGAGGTTAGGATGCTGGAAAACCGGTAACGGTGCGCGTTGAAACATCCAGAATAGCATTACAAGAATTTGCTAATAGTTGCAAAATAGGCAAAAAGCGTGTATGTGTAGCTGATGATTGAGCATTCAAAATGAAGACCTGTCCGCGATTAGCTAGATAATCGTTGGTTGATTTGTCTGCCTCGCATATCATTCAGGGCTTAATAATAGTCTAATTTTAAAATCTACCGCAATCCTTTTCGATTTGATATTGAAATTTAAGAATTACGAACAAACGAACTTAATTCAAGGGATGTATTTTAAACACTTCGGATAGCTGTGAATACAAGAACTGGCAATATATAAAAAATAAAACAAAAATATTTTTCTTTCACTTTATTTGCAATTTGTATCACATTTCCGTCCAAATTGGTTTTAGTAGCCGCAAACCAAGTGAACAATTTTGTGAAACTAATCACAATCAATGACAGAATTATATTATACATGCTGACAGTCATCAGTCAGTCGCTCAATAAAACATATAAGACTAGACTTATTGACTCTCGAGCCATCTTTCTATATCTTCATTTCCCAAATAATGGATACGATATTCATTTCAGAATTTCCACCAAAACACCATATTTAAAAGATAATATTAAATCCAATCGATTGTAAAATCATCGGGTAAACGATACGCATAAAATTATTTCACAGAACAAAATCAAAATAATCATTAACTCCTCAATATCCTTTCTATTTCTTCCACTGATCTGCCTTTAGTTTCAGGCAGAAGCACCAAAGCAGCAACAGCACCAAAGAAGTTTATGGATGCAAATATTAAAAACATTGTATACATCCCAAACATTTCGGAAATGGGAATGAATACTACCAGCTGCATCGATGATACAAACCATGCGTAGGAAACTATACACCCCATCAGCTTAGAACGAACCTATAAACAGAAAGAGAATTGTTAAATATACTTGACAAAATATCATAAAACCAAGATGTATGATGCTTCCGCCAATAATTAAAAAGCGTTAGAAGATCAAAAATTTTCAACTCTGTGCCGCCAGTATAATGAACTCATAGGTATAGATATTGATATTCTTAACTGCAATCTATTACAAAAAACTTGTTGACGTATTAGTGTAACTTTTCTGTTTAATAACTTGGCGATTTTAATCAAAATTCTAATTATAAAGATTTTAATTTGTATTGTCATCTGTTTTTTTGCATCTTAATAAATAACAAAAAAAAAATTCTATAGGAATCTTACCTGAAAGTGGAATGTCTCCGACACGATAACATAGAATATTGGTACAACCCCAGCCGAGTAAGCCCAAACAGACACAGCTATTGCAAGCATCGGTAACCAGTCGGGTGGACTGAAACCGCTATGTTGCAGCAGCAGATATACGCCCATACATGTCATTGCTATTGCTATTAAAGCTTGCATCAATACGATGATGACCTGGGGAAGATTTTGAAAATGTATATATACTAAAATAGGCTATCTCATAAATAAGTAGGCAAACAAAATCGTTTTTATGTGTCTCAAAAATATGATTTACATACGGCTCGTTAATGAAGTTTGGTTTGTCTAAGCAAGATTGCATGCGTTATTATTCTTTATCTTCTTTGTTATAGGAAATAGGTACGAGTTAAATGCATGAGACCTTGTTAACTATTAATAACTATGTATGAACTTTCAAGGAATACTCAAAATAAAAGATATGGACATTAATTTTGAAATCTTTAAAAATGCATAAGAACTAACCTTTCTTCCAAATTTTTGTACACAAAACATTGATACTGTAGATCCAAAAAGCATCAGAATAGGTACAACCAGCGACTGTAGGTCTGGGTCGACGGAAAGACCAGTAGAAGATAAAATTACCCAAACGTATGTCATGATAGCAAAGATACCATTTCCAGCCTGCGCAGTATTAACTATTATAATGCGAATGAACCCTCTGCGCCAAGCTTTATTCTTAACTAAAAAGTAAATACCATTAATGTTAAGGATAGCAGTCAATAAGTTTAACAATATGAAAGAAAAATATTAATTATGCTCTAAAGTTTTCTGAATATTAAACAATGTTATCTACCAGAAAAGAAAACCTGGAATATAATTAAGCTATAAAGTTATTTGTAAGAAAACTGTGTTATTGTAAAACTACAGCTTGATCAAAACATATTTCCATAAATAAAACAACTTTTAAAAGGTTACGTTTCGTGTTCACAAAAGACTAAAGTGTTGATAGTCTTTTTAATTAAGAGTATAGCTACCTTCAAAACAATACTATTGGACACATTCACAATACAAACAATGTTATATTTTATGTCAATTTTACATAATTACTTTAAAATACATTTGACTTATTTATTTACCCCGGCTACCGTAATCTAACAGCAGTTCCAAATTTGGGAGTCTTAACTGAGAAGAACTGGCGTAACAAACTCCGGCAAGATATGGGAGCAATTCACTATTAGCTATACTCTTAATTAAAAAGACAATCAATATGTCTTGGTCTTATGTGAACACAGAACCTGTAAAGGGTCCGAAACGCAATGAAACCGTTTAAAAATTGTTTCATTTATGAATAGTGCGCGTGCAAATATAAAAATATCAATATACATGTTTCCACTTACAAATACTGATAAATGTGAGTTCAGGCAATGATTTATAATACTGTTCCTCATTTCTCATATCATTCACTTCCAATTGAATACTCTTGTGATCTCTCTTCACACCTTTAAGCAGAGCTAATGTCTTTTCAGCCTCCTAAAAAATAATATCATACTCTTTCAACACGTATCAAAAATAACACAAATCAAAATAAATCTTACGTAGATATCTGAAAGTAGCTGTAAGTAAATTATAAAATGTTTGTCACTATCATCACTTTCTTAATAGCCAAACTGCTGGCGCATAACTTTACCCATGAAAAGAAAAAAGAATAATGAACCATAATCCACAACCCTGGTCCAGACTGGATTGATTCACACTAGGAACTAGAGATACAACTGAAATCTAAACTTTAACATATATTCTAGAGCAAAGAACAACTCCAGAATTTAGTGATGAAATGTACCCAAACTACTTACGTCCAGTTTCTCTTTCTTCACTAAGTAAGCAGGTGATTCAGGAGCAAAGATCATGAGTCCCGTGGACAGTACTGATACGGAGAGCGATATCCATAGAATGGTGTGATAGCTCAAGTAGCTGCCCATTAGGTACATAAATAGACAGCCCAAGTTCTGAATTAACATAATAAGGGCCACAGCGGCGCCTCGGATGCTGTCTTGGCATATTTCTCTCACATATATGGGTATGGCGATGTAACAACCGGCTGACGAAATTCCGGCTACTGCTCTTGAGAAAATTAATAATGTGGTATTTGTAGCAAATAGCCTCAATGCCCAACTTATCTGAAAAATAAGTTAATTATGAATTTTTGCACTTGCCTTGGGAATTTCTGGGAAAAGAATATTGTTCCTAAGTATCATGTTCATATAAATTTAAAGAGCTTACCAATTGTGGTATCCCTACTGCCAATACGCCAGCTTTCCTTCCGAATGCATCTGTTATGTACGCATACAAAGACACTACGCAAACTGCTGTAAGAGCCGTAATACTGCTAACCCATGTAAACTCGCTACTTGATAAAGCTGATCCGGTTGGTGACAAATCTGACGTCAGAATTTTCGTCATTGGCGACAACCAGCCGGTCTCCATCCCATAATTGAGCATCATCATAGAAACTGGAAATAAAATCTCTTCACACTCTCTGCTCGCCTGGTATATGATTATCAATTAAATTGAACAAAAACAATATAAAATATTCACCGATCATCACCACAATCCACTGAAGACGAGTATGTCCAAAGTCTTTGTTATCCTTATTATTTTCATTAATTATTTTGTCAGTCATTTTATTAAAATAAACTATTAACAACTATTATAAAGCAATTCTCTATAAAAAAGATCAGCCTTTTGAAACTCTCCTATTTTTTATACTATTGAGTAAGTATAAAAAAATTACAATCAAATCATCTAGTGACTGTAACAGAAGTTAATTAAATGAGATACTGATTTAATATCAGAACTTTTATATTAATGTTATGATGACTCAGGGATGTCTCCGTAGTGCACAGATGAAAGAAAATTTCAGTACTCTTTTTTGTATTAGACTATTATACTGAAAAGATAATTGTTGGTTTACGTAATCGCAAATCTGTGACGCTTTAAAATCATGCTTTACACTCGATTAACTCTAAAATTGCCGAACGTGTTTCATGCTGTTTTTATCAAATGAATGCATTCATTAATTAACAGTAATGCATTCATTAATTGTTATTTTTTATTTAAAAAGGTAACTAATTTATACAAAAAAAAATCATGAAGATTAAGGTGTAGCAACACAAATTATAACTAGCAATAAAGTAGCTTTAACTCAGTGTTGTCCAACGTCAATTAAAATCTCAACATTGCTCTCAGCTCAATTGCTGGTTTTATCACAACCTGGAGCCCCATAATAATTTTTTAAAATCTATCATAGTCCCTTTAAATTTGAAATAATTCACGAACTTCACGCTACGAGAGCGATTGGAATTGCGTCATTTTTTTTAAAGATATAGTTTATGAGAAATGTCAAATGAAAGAATTGTACGCTGATTGTAACCATTCGACTGGTGTAGAGGTAAGTTTCTATTTATGTTTCTTATTCATACCAATCAACATTCGTAAAAAAAGCTATATAAGCGACATAAAGCGTTATCGCTATACTTGAAGATTTTAAAATATGCCAATTATCCCACTAATCGAAAAATTATACCTTATTTTCTGGAACACATATTCTTGGCATAATTTGATACAGCCCTAGTATTTCCTTAGCGACGAATACTTGTAATGATAATTTTGCAGACATGTGTATCGAAAAATAAATAAAGCAGAAAGTTAAGAAAGGTACAGACGAGTATTTAATTTTTCACATAATTATTACAAGAAAAGAATATACAAGGCGATGCTTTGAGAGTAATTCACTAGGTAATCAACTTGGCAGATTTGCAACTAAGCTAAATATCAGTTAAAAATAAATAAAAAAAATCTGCTGCTAAACGATATGTATATTATATCATTTAACATTATTTATTACCATAATTTATTTGAGCAATATTTTTGTTATAACAGCTTTTATATTGGTAATGCCATACGATTAATAAATCGAATCAAGCTCTCTTAATTTCTTTTTATTCATAAGCAACTCAAGATTGTATTACAATTTAAAAAACTTCCTACAACGCGACTCTTCAGTTCCCTTAGAATGAAAAAGATCGGCTTTTATATTCTGTCCAACACACCACTGTTGCAGTAAGTATCAAATAAAACCTTTTTTTTATTTGACTTAAGCTCTAATGCTGTAATAGTGTTGTATTTAACACTATTTATAGATGCCTTTCATATTATTTTTCAGATGAATGAACTACGGAATTCATTGTGCTCCGTAGCAATGGCTACAAGGTGACGCCACATTATAAATGCTACGATGTACCGTAGCATTTGACTACAGTGTAATACACCCTTAGTATCAGTCGTTACTATAACATTTTGATTTATTACTTTATTTGTTATAGGCTTCTTCTAGCCAACAACACTGTTTGTCTAACTAAATATAATCGTCCTGCACGTGGCCTTTTACGTCACAGTAATGTGATGTCAGATGTTTATTTTTGTTTTTTAATGTCGACAATGTTCTATAATTATCAATGCGTTTAATTATTTTGTTCTTATGTGTTGCGATAGCAAACGAAGAGAATAAACAAAGATTTAACACTCAGTGATTTATTGTCATAATTTATACAACTAATGATGATGTACAGCGACGCTCTTTCTGTAATCGGTTAGAATTTTCTAAATGCTTTAGTTTTTGTAATAAATTGTATTGAAGTGAAGTGCTACTTTGCTACGCCTGTTTACTCCATTGGTGAAATTAAATGAACAGCATGATGAAATAAATAAATTTTTACGATACTAAACTTAAACTTAAAGATTTGAAATAAACTTAAACACAAATATAAAAAGATTTTTTTACCGACAGATTAGCGAAAATAGTTTCTAATTTTATCATTATTTGTAAGAAAACACATGAACATCCATACTGCTGTTTGTGGTGAAACGTTGGAATTCTAAAGTCATTTGTTATTTATTATTGAGATGTAGAGAATACTTGATATCAGCATTTTTAGGGTTCCGTACCTCGAAAGAAAATAACGAAACCCTTATAGGATCACTTTGTTGTTCTTTTTCGCAGGAACACATGGAGATATCAAGCTGAAATTTACATCAAATACTCAGATCTTAATAATAATAATATCTTAATCTTAATACCTTAGAGCTATTCAAATTTCTAAGGCAACGCAATCGAAAAGTACAACCGTTTATGCCACAAATTTTAGAAAATCACAAGTGAATTAAAATTCACAGGGTACTTCTCGTGAACTCAGAATCTTGATATTTTATATTTATATCACAATAAATTTTTAGTTAAAGGTTTGTACTGAATCTGCGGTGCGCGAATCCGACTCGCACTTGTTTTTTTTTCCTTATTTATACTAAATAAATTATCCCCTAAATATAAAAAGATGTAATTTTACAATAACTGGGAGATATACACCATCGATTGTTCTAAATTCAAGTGTTTTTGATATAAAACTATCAATTGTGATAATTGCCGTAATTACGTAATTACGTAATTACGGATTACTTTACATTTACTCCTAAATTTTGACCAAAACTTGCTACACCACATCATATATTTTTTTAATCTTAGTAATTATTTTGATATTCAATATTTATTTTTTAACTGTAAAATGCAATATTTTAAAATTATGTTAGGCAGTCCACTAAATTGTGGTAGTAAATATTCTATGTATCTCGGATAAATTGAGAATATATAAAAATAATATTATAAATTGTAAAAAAATATTGAGGGGGTATATTCATACTTAATGTATAGAGATAGAGAAGTGCAATAAACTGGTGTGAAAAAGAACTATTAAACATAGCAAACAATAGTGATCATAAAACTCTACCCTGCGGTATCTCAACAGAAATTTTATAACAAATATAAAAGATACCTTCAATGCTATAAATAAATTGAAATTCCAAGTAAAATTACAAAGGCATCAGTGTTAAAAGCATGGCTAAAATCAAGAGAACCGTTTTATTATTACCATTTTTATACTGGACTTAATATTATTTATAACACTTACTATAAAAGTGCTACTGTTGCTTACTCTACTAATAAAACATTATCTGTTTCCCTTCTATAACAAATATTGATGAAACAAATACAGAAGTCTATAAAATTATCTAAATAAAGAAGTATGTGACAAATAATCATCATTCAAATAAATATATAAGATCATATTTATATTTTATAGTAGACACTAAAATCATCCCCGCGGTGGCAGATAAACCAAATGGATGAATGTCTATCCAACATATTAATTGAATTTATAAAATTTAATAGTTAAGTGGTCCCAATCAATTTTAGACCTGCCCCCTGATTGTCTAATTTTAAATCTATTGCAATCGCTTTCAGTTTGAAAGGTGTTGCACAACCATTGCTGCATAATACAAATACTTTTTTTTCAACTGTCTTCAGAAACAAGCAATGGTTATACAACATCTTTCAAACCGAAAGATTTTAAAGTTAGACAATTAGGCCCCTGACCGTTCAAAAGGGAATATTACGGAAAAAATAGAAAACTGTGTTGATAAAAAAGTATTATGGCAATGCGTGACAATAATATTTTTTTACCAAAAGTTTATCGAACGATTCCTACTTACATTCAAATATGCAGCAATGGAATAATGGATTATAGCTGTTTTAAAGCGAGCTGCTGCCAAGGAAATCGTCAAGTAAAACTATTATGACATGATTTTGATATGTAAACACTGAGCCTTTATCATATCATACGACGTGGACATAATAAATTTTACAATATTATGTTGTCTTGTATGAGCTTAAGAATAGTTGTGAGTATTTAAAAATAGTTAGTTAAATATATGATGCAATTTTATCTATGTGTTATGTTATTGTGAACATGTTTTATTAGCACATGTAATCGTTCAAACTGATAAATTTTTGACAAAGAGAATTTAAGCACTGCGTTTTAATTATTGGTTCGATAACTATGACGCAGTAAAGCTTACAAAAACTAATGAAGCAGGTAGTTTTATAATTAGATGTTAAAATCATAACAGATGTAACTTTGAAACATTTATAGTATTCATTTTCTATAGCAGTTATAACCTATATCCGTATATGATGAAGCAGCCCGTTAGTGAAAAAAATCACCAATCAGCTAGTAAGATATACTATGCACATATAGAAGAAATGTAAATAAATATTAAAAATACCACATACATCAGTGAAATCCCAGGTTTTATAATAAAAAAACATATTCTATAAATATTATGGAAATCTGTACCACATCACCCACATTTGAGATGAAATGACATAAAAAGTTAATTTACTATTTAAACCGGCCGTTATTAAGTTTAGGTTTAAAGATATTTATTCTCATAAGAATTGACGTGTTTACTTTATATCAGGCCAAAGCAGTCCACAGCAGTACATACGCCTCTACTAATAGGCTCCATTTTTTCCTGTTTTTATGTTCACGTATATTCAGATTAAAATTATATATTTTTGTCTAAGACATAAACAAAAAGTTTTCAACGAGCATCATAACCATAATCGATAAGTAATTACATTGTCGAAAAAAACAGAATACTATCTAAACCGAATCAAAGTATCTGAAGTCAAATATCTGAAGACTCGGGACTTCAGATATTCTACACATTAAAACCGATGTTGTAAACTACTCAGCTACAATCGATATGAATATTGAAAATATCCTTCAAACAATCCTGAGAAGCGCTACTCACGATATTAGTAGATCTTTCTTCTAATCCAAGCAGAATAAAAGAAACTGCAAACAACTTTACAAAAATATACTTTAATATCATAATACTTATTTACACGAGCTAAAATTAATAGCATAATGCAGATAACAACATTTTCCCCAAGTTTCTTAGATGTCTATAATCGATTTAAACATAAATTGATAATTATTAGTTTTGGTATGTTTTCAACTAAACATATTCGTCATTTTTTATATACTAAAACATTTAATACAAATAGACATAAGCGAGCCTTTACAAGCATATGGTCATTATCACATTATTAATTATCATGAAGACTTACTTACTATCACTTGAGCACATTCAACGAATTATTTTTATATGTAATTTTTAGGAAATTAAAATATTCAGTTGCGTCTTTATAGTTCATCGTAAGGAATATAATATTTTGTGTGTAATGTGTAAGCTTGGCGAAGAAATTACAATTTTTCTCATACAAATATATTGACTTCTGTAAGATGAACAAAAAGATACAAACATGATATGTTATACGTAGGCAACCTGAAATTAGAAACATACACATCGCAAAGATTAATTTCAAGACATTTTACAGATTAAGTGACTGACACTTTGAGACATTCTTCACACAATAAAGATAAACATTATTCAGATATACATAAAACGTGACTTGGTTTCTCTAATTCAGACGAATTTCATGACATCAGTTTCTGCAGCCACTTTCGTACGGGACTCAATGAGGTTCTAGTGAAGATGGTAGGACTTTGTGAAGACTTGCAATTCTTTGACGTCCAACCTGAACTGATGCCCCAGAGTCCATCCTCGGCTAAAACTGGTGCTCCTGGATCGGGCTGAAATAAGAATTTCGTTAACATTATTATCTGGCAGTCAAACTAAATATTGTTATGTTTTCTTTTACTATCAGAATAATAACCTGTCCCTTCTTGGTTGGCACTGAAATTCTAAGGACTATACGATATGTGCAAAGTAGGTGTTGGGAAACGTCAAATCTGTGTATAACAAAGCGCGATGTGAAAGAGTATGTATTGTGTTTGTAGAATTTAAAACAATGAGGAAAAACAGTTTGTGCAAGCTTTTTCATTTCTATCATCAAAATAGAAATGATAACAAAGATTTCTTTCTTTTCGCACAATTTGAGATGGATAATTTATAATATATTTTATTAAACAACTCCAAAAATTGAGGTTTTCTATTCGACTGTATGTTTTTGTGTGTTTGTGACACAAAAACATACATACGAGATTACTCCGCCAATTATGAATCGATTTTCAAAATTCTTTTTTATTGGACTGGTCTTTAACAATTAACTGTTGGAAGTAGTCCCTTTTAATTTTATCGAAATCCAATCAAAACTAAATATATTCCTTCCATCTGGTACCTAAATATTTTGATGCCATGATTATATCAGCGAAAAAACAAAAGATACTTTGCATTATTATAACCTTTGTGTAATAATAATAATAATAATAATAATAATTTTATTGTACATAGAATATACTTTTTTATATCGTTTTTTGAAGTTCCATAGTTTGGATCCTTAAAGGTAGGTATATAACCTATATAAACAAAAATGGATCATAAACATTCTATAACATAGATTTATTATGTCAATAAAGTTGTCATAATAAAGTTGTTGTTTATAGGATTTTTATGCATATAATATTTATAGCATTTATAAGTATCCCTAAAAATAATGAAAGTAAAACATTTTTCAAAATTTTAAAAGCTGATAAATAATTCTTATCTTAATAGCGGTTAATTTTTTCAAGAATCCCCCTCCCCCAAGAACGTACTATCTCGAGATATAATTCATATTTGATCACCTATCCATCGCCTAGCTTTTAAAAAAATCGCTTAATCAAAAGCTGGTGAGTCATAGAATGAACGTAAGATATGATTAAGATCTAAATTTAAACTAACCATGCAGACACTATGGTGTGTCTTGATAGGCTTCAGACACAAACTGTTCTGATTCAACTCCACTCCAGTTGACTCCATGAGTGTATAGCAATTCTTCCAAGGGATAAGCTTTTGGGTAGATACTCTCATGTTATGGTATTTTATACGCTCCTTTGCTGACTTCGGGAGAGTTTTACCTTGAACCTGATGATACAATTATACAAAATGATGAATGACAGATTTGGAACGACTGGTTAAAGCAAATACAACTTTTTATGTTTACAACTCTTTTGGATAAATATTGCTCTTTGGTATTTGAAATTAATCTTGGATATTTATTATTTACCTATAAAATTTCAATTAAAACACCTCTTTGCATTTACATTACTATATCGATATTAATCCCATCCCGCGGTACCAGGGTCTGGTGACTTTTCGCTTTTAGACTCTTTTCTTACTTGTTTTATAAACACATATTATTGCCAGCCCCTTTGGTTTTCGGCTACCTTATAAATTTTACTTTTACAATATTGAAAGGCAAAAAAATATAATTAAAATGGCTTCAATAAGTGTATAATAAAACCTGCTCCCTTCTAATAGAGTTCATTTTTCAAACTCCTACATGTTAGCCAAAAACTCGAAACGGTAGCCGAAAACAAGCGAAATCACTTGTTTTTTTTTTCAGATAATGTAATTTTATAATTTTACTGTGCTACTTATGAGAAAATCCATAAAATTTGAAAAATATTACATACTGACTTCGCAAGTATATGATGTACTTTAGCTATAAACTTGTAAACTGAAAAACACCATGAAGTCTAAAATTCACCTAACTGGCCGAAAACAAAAAATAAAATACCTCAAAAAAAGGATGTTATCTATTCAAAATGTATGTCTTGGTTTGCTATTATTTTTAGTTTGCTATTATTGGGCCAACAAATGTTAAAGAGCTAACGTTGGAACAATACAAATCACTACTAGAATAAATACTCATACTTACAATAAGTCTCGGCCAATAAGTAGTCATAAAATTGGCACTTATAACCTTTTGTGTAACATTAGACAGGAATATAGGCTTGATATACTCAGTTAGCTTGACCTGTTCAGCAAGTTTAAATACAGCAACGTCGAATGCAGGGTTTCCGCTCTCATACGAGGGATGTATATGGATGCTTTTAATATGGAGTAATTTCCCTCCCTTCTTGCAATTTACGGAACCTAGTCTCACTTTATAGAGTTTAATGGACTCTCTGACACTAGAACATAAAATATTAACATTTATTGACTGACTTTTTATCATTATTTGGCATTGAATATATTTGGAATACAATTTTTTCATTGTATCAATAGTTTTTATAGAGGCTAATTTTTAAAAAGCAAAAACATTTTAAAAGGCGCATTTATGAATACACAGTTACATACACGACAAATCTATTATAATCGCATCAAAGCATAAAATCAGGTGGAGAAAATTGACTGACAGATTGGCCGTCTCTAGATTAAAAATCTAGATATAGACTTCTGATTTATTAGGATTATATGTATTGGTAAAAGAATTTTTTAAAATCGGTCCAACAGTTTTTGAGTTTAGCCATTACAAACATACAAAATTAAAAATTGGTATATATTGTACTGCTCAAAAGAAGTTTCCGATTTATAATTTTACAATCCTTAGTAAATGAATTTATTCGTTCCCTTCTTCCATGACCTTTTTTAATTAATAATTCAGAACTAAGAATGATTAATTAATTAACAAGTATAGACGGTGTCTTCGTTATTATATTTGACAAATTTGCATTCGAAGAAAGGTAAGATCTGTTGTCCAACCTGCGAAAGATGAATGATTCGAATCGCGATATACATATAGTACATATTCTCGGAATGGCAATTTGTTTAGTACTTTTCTTTAGGTAAGGACTTTGCCATTAAGCAGTCTATACATACTTATAAAAATCTGCTGCCACTGTAAGCACTGTCTGATTATCCAATAAAGCTCCAGAAGCGTAATGGGAGCCTTTACGCAGTATCGAAGCAGAGAAGGGATGGTTTAAGAGAGTGTTCTTGCATTCAATCTCTTCACTGCTATCATTGTTCTCTTCACTTTGGTCGTTTTTCAATGGGCACTTAATGAAAGTTGTGGTATTAGCTAGAACATAATAACAATAAAGATCAATCATTGATTCAACAATGGTTGAGTTATACGCTATTTAGTATGAATAAACTGTACTGTACTATTTGCAATCATAATCTGATATAAGCAAATTTACTAATTTTTGGCAGTTTCAAAACTCAGTACTAATTGTTACCATGTAAATATTGATCAGAATCCTCTTTACGTTCATTATTATCCCACGTTTCTTTATTGGAAGCTTGTCTTTTATCTTCTCTTTGTAACCTAATACTTTCAATTGATTTTTCTATTATGCTATTTTTATTATATACTGCATTATTCTTTTCAAAATCATTATCTAGTGTATCTAAGTACTCTGTACTATGCACCTCATTTATATCTTCACTCTCCAAGCTAATTGAATTATTTGATTCAACGTAATCACCACAGTAAATTTCAATAAAATACAATAAAGCAAGTTGAAATATAGATATTTTACATTTACACATTTTTCGTAATTTTAATGAGTATCATCGGAACAAAATTTCTAAAAACTAATTGTTAGACTAAAATTTTTTGATGTACGCAGGTGTTAAATACAAAGTTGTTTTTTGAAAAATGCTGAAAAACAAACTCTTGCGAGAAATAAAAGATGAGTGCAGAGAACAATTGTATCGAAATTAAACAAAGCTACGTCGAAGTATTTGTTTTTTGATATCGCATGTCATTGATTATTCAAGTTTTATCACTTCAGTCAAGAATTGAATTAAGTAGTATCATTCTCCTCAATTGCTTGATTATTTGATGTAAAAATTACAAGTCACATTCTACAAATATTTGCGGCAAAGTCCGTTTAAGCGTTACGGTCTGACAACCGTGATGAATGATGATCTTACGCTACCCAGCATGGTAAAAGTCATACTGGAAAATGACAGGTCCTGAGAAACTGTTGGTGAGAACGAAACCATCCCATCCTTTTCCATTCTTTCAGATATCAGATGATCAAATCATTAGTTATCCCGACGCTAGGCCATCATACAGTGTTACAACGGTGGCTAAGTACATCTTTCATAACAAAGACGAGTGACAATATCACCATGAAAGTCTTCAATTCACTGTCTCAATTATCTGTGGGATGACTAAAGCAATGTCGAATGATCGCTGCAACTCTCAAAAAATGAACATGCTGAGCAGGAAGATGTGTGAAATGTATTATGCATGCTTCAAGAAGTTGACCAATCGATCAATAAAAGTCAAAAGTCCCGTCCGCAAAGAAAAGGCTCCTCTTCAAGCCGCGTTCAACAAGTAAATTGATGTTAAATTAACGGTATATGATCTATAACCTATAACCCTCGGTGCCTCAAGTATAATTTTAAATGTCATATCTCTTAAATATAATTTTAAGAAATGCTGGTTTTAACCCATTTTATACAGATGCTTTCCCGCTACAGTATATGTCAACCACATATGATGTAGCTTCCCGTTCCCGTGATAAAAGAGTTTTTAAAATAAATCCAGTAGTTACGGAGCTTAATTAATGCAAACAAACCATCAAATTTTTGCTCATTACAATATTATTATCGATTAGCTCTATCATAAAAGGGTACTATTCATAATGAAAAAAATAAAGAAAGCAATTGCGTCTTTGGTCACCAAGCGTAGTTATTCGTTCGTTAGATTAGGAGCGTTATTTGTTTTCATTAGTTCATGTTTGCTATAACGGTCACCATTGTTTCAAAGAACAATAAGTCGTTGCGTAAATTTGTTTATATTTCTAATAATGAACTCTAGAACTGTTGTAACAGCTTGAGTAGACAGTGTGCCGGTGATATTAATAGTGCTTTTAATAATGCTGAAATGATTTTACGAAGAGACGTTTTAATTTGCTTGTTAGGTCTAAGTTTTAATTATAGAATTTTAAGTGTTCAAAGTGGTAATTGGTTTGTAATTTCCACCTTTTTTGGCAAGCATTTTAAGATGAAAATCTGTATTTTGAACAACAATGACCCGATGCCAAATCAAAACGTGAAAGTATAGTGAGAATTGTTTTGTTCCATGTCTTTGTTTCTTATAGCAGAATCACTTTCACGGTGTTGTTATTTCTAATTACTCGAGTTTTTTCTCAAGAATTTCTAATACTTTCTTTTGTTTCAAATTTCCAAAACACTTTTTTTTATTTACTTGACCAACAATGTATGTGATGTTGCATATTACTGCGTATATCAGAATAGACGACCACTCTACAATTTCCTTAAAATGTTTGCCATATCATCCTTATTATGAAGCAATCTTTTTAAAATTTTCCACTTTCTCTAAAGCATTAAAAATAATACTATGGTATGTTTATTTAATATAGAGACAACAGCTCGCAATGATCTGGAGTGTGAATTTCCACCACGGATGGAAGAAGACCTCACACACATCAGGAGAAAAAGATTAACCACCAAGAATGGACTAGTCTGCTTGGAAGATTATCCTTATACGGTTTCTATTAGGTACGTAACATATTAAAAAATAATAGCTCAGCAGATTTCGATGTGGTATAAGGATAATGTTAGCCTAAATTAATCCCGCTAAACGGTTTCTTGAAGAGCACGTGGTAGCCCTGTTATAGATCGAAGAATGATCGTATATATAAATCATACCATAATGAAAATAACATAGATAACATAGATAACATTCTTAATGAAAATTCTTGAAAAATCCACCAGCAAAATCAAGAAAACATAGAAAATACCATTCCACAAGAACAATGCCACCCCAAGTACAATACGCTTTATTCTTAATCAAATGTCAAAAATAAATTTATATATCTATCTATCTTGTTTACGGCTCCAAATTCTAAATTTTGATCAGCAACAACTTTTAAATGGAGTTCTGTATTTTAGGTTACATGGTAAACATTGGTGCGGAGGAGCAATAGTTGCAAGGCAATGGATTTTGTCAGCAGCTCAGTGTTTTGATTAGTAAGTGCACCAACACTTAATTTAAAAATATTTTGTAATACTCCTTTCTCCTTTCATTTCAAACCTTAATGTTTAGAGAGTAGCTATTAAAATCAACTATAGAAATTTAACATATTGTGGTAACTTGTCTTGCAGACGTATATATACTTAACGAAATAAATTGTTATAATTTTATTTAGTGTCACCAAAGAAGAGGTCACTGTTCGCGTAGGCTCTGTTTTTAGGGATTTCGGTGGCCGGATCTTGTCTATTACCGATATCAAGAGGCATCCAGACTACAGAATGGATCAGTACTATCCTGAACATAATTTAGCATTGGTCAAGGTATACTTTCGAATAATATAAGTAAGTACAATAAGTTCTCACTAATATGGCGCACAGTACATCTACTAATTCTGACAATTATGGCTTAAAGTATAATGCATTAGATGTCCATCCCACTCATATATAGTTCAAGTGTATCTGTGCTCATACTCCATTGACATTAGCGGGTGGATACTGGTAGATCGCCTGATAGCGTGATACTAGAATCATTCTAATTGGTCGACATTTGCCGCGCATCAAAATTTAGCATTTTGTGCTTTCAGTGAGCCACATCATATGTATGTTACTGAACTTTTCCTCAAAAAGGTTTTAACTTTACTTTCAAACTAAATGTAATAATTAGCAATGTAGCATGGAGGTCAATTTAACATTTATACTAAAAAAGAAACATATTTTGGGTCTCTTCGATTAGGGAGTATAGTATTTTCAAGAATACAGTGTAAATACAAATTAAAGTCAGCATCATTGTTAAAGTAAGATGTTGATATAAACACCTCTCCACTACCATGCCACTGCATGACATTTGAAAAGTTCGAAACTTAGATATCAATACAAATACGAAAAAGTACAAATAGAATATGAATTGTTTATCGAGTTTTGAAAACTAATTTACTTTTAAACTTGAAAGAAAACCGGAGAGGTTGTCATGGAGAAATCAAGAACGTACCTTAGCGACATCTAGTTTGATTTCGGGAACGAATTTTTTTTTATACTTCCTTATTGTTATGGTTAACAGGTTAACATTCCAATCAGACCTAACAGTCGAGTGCAACAAGTGGGCCTGGCTATAGCTGACTCCGACCTGCCACCGTCTTTCGGGGAGACAGTTGTTACTGGATATGGATCTGTGGTAATTCTGTCTTATATTAATAGTATTAAAATACATACGAGTAAGTTAGTGCCATGTTAGAGCAAAACTATAGATAGGTAGAATACGTTTTACAGACCCCTTCAATTTCAAATATTTTGATTTGATGATGTATATTAATTTATTTATTATAGTTAATTTTATTCATACTTATGTAACACGTAAGTTATTAAAAATTATAGGAAAATGTTTGTTTTAATTCAGGTTACGGGCCAATTACGAGAAGGTGAGAACCAAGAACTCAGGCGTATGATCGTCCGTGAGGTACCGAGACCATCCTGCCGGCTCATCTATGGCAACGACTATCACCTTCAACATGACCACATTTGTCTGCAGAGTGTGGTGAAAGGCGTGGCCCTGTGTGCAGTAAGAATATCTTTGAAGTCATTAACGCCTTGTAAATAGTTAACGTCAACAATATTAGAAAAGTTATATTAATACCAGACATATCAAATAATAACGAGTTGCAATGAACACATCACTATCTTATAGATAAGGTGCACTACAAGGATCAACTTAATGTTCATCATCATCAACTAATCCCATTTTATATCATAGGAGTATTGGTGTCATTCAAACTTTCTTCATTCCGATCGATTCTGGGCAACTTGGATCTAGTTTGTGCCCATTAGCTTTGTCACATCTTCCTTTCACCACATCTGTGGCCTACCGACGGGTCATTTCAGCCCTTATGACCTCTATTCCAGGACTGTTCTGTTCATGAGTCTTGCATCCTTGCATTATGCCCAACCCTATGCCACTTGATCGTTATTTTTATTAGCAACTGCAAATACAGCTAGGACCAACGGCTTAACGTGCCTTTCGAAGAAAGAAAGAGTTCGAGATAGTAAATTCTTGATGACTATCCTATAACCGGCCGCTAACCACCTCGATATTTCATAACTTTTCTTATATGTTGGATGCAGTGATTTATTATATTCACAGGGAGACACAGGCGATCCAGCAGTTCATTTTAGCGGAATAAACCGAGCGGGAACTCTGTATGGTATTGCTTTATTCTCAGGCACCGAAGAGTGTGCTTACAAGTCAAAACCTGGGGTATATGCAAAGGTGTGTTGCAATATCTACTAATATTCTAAATAGGTTTTTTATCCTCATTATAAAGTCAACTTGGCATTACGAAATAAGTGTAAAACATGATGAAATAAGTTTCACGAAACTTCGGTACATGTGGAACTAGTTTCGTAATGGTGAGCAATCATCGATATATCTGTCTGAGACACAGGCTGCGTCAACAGCGAAGATTTATTATGTCCAGAAGGTATCAGGATTGTAAATTAGCCATGTAAACCGTGGTGAAATTAGTTGTATGACAAAAGTTTCATCAAAACTAGGTACTCTAGTGTCGTAAAACTAATGCAGGCATCGTGAGAGGACCCGAAAAACAGCAAATTAAGGGATGAAAGTGGAAGTAGAAGTTTATTATAGCAACCATTGCTTACTATTCAATTTCTCATTGTAATTTATCCGTGTCATGATATAAATCGATATCCAAATAAACAGATCCCTAAGACTGCTGAGCCCTAAGGGCGTTAGCGAAAAGCTAGTATAAGTATAATATTCAGCTTTATTATAAGCATAGATTGAAAAGAAGTGAAGTCTTTTTGTTTGTAGGGTTATCTTCGGAAATAATTTAACACCTAAGCATAACCTTTTCTAGTATTTCTTTTTGCATTAATAATAATAAAAAAATTATAACAGGTGTCATACAGCCGCTTATGGATAGACAAAATTATAGGAGAAACTTTGGAACACAATGAAAGCGCTGACAGTGGTGAAAATGCGATACCCCTAGATCTCGACCGTTAGATAATAAATGTGTACATTAAACATAATTATTTAATAAATGTTTTATGAAAATATTAAAAAAAAATTATTTTAAGATTAACGACTATTTTCATGTGCATTAAAGATTATTCCATTTTATTACAAGAACCTACTTAAGAGTTAGATAATAATACTCTTTTAAGCTACGTATGGCCAAGCACCTTCGAAGTGATCGAAGCTCAATGATCTGTGTTCTATGTACGCAGCAAGACAAGAATCAAGGAAGCCTATTCGTTGGTCCGGTCTGTACGCACCAGAAAAAAAAAAACTCTTATTTGTTAAAGTTCGATGGCCCTTCGTCAATTCAGTTTGTACACAGCAAATTCTATTGGAGATATTAGATGTAAAACTTTTATATAATATCACGATCCAATTTAAAACGTGAAAAGATGCCACTTAATAGTAAACGAGTACATATTTAAAATGAACACATTCGATTACATCTTCCAAATCACTCTAAATACTAGAGACCTAGTATTTACTTGCTACTACCCAATGAGACTTGAAACACTGTACTACCTACGAACAGCCCTACGATTCAATCAGATGTCCAAATTCGCTTCAAAAAACGGCATCCGCTTAATCTAGAATTGGTAATAACGTTTCGTGGCATAAGTGAAGCGAGTTTCGAAATGACTTAGGAACAGAATATGTGAGACACGTATAATTAATCAAAGTTGTTTTGTATTTTTATACAAAAAAAAAAGAATCAATATAAGTGACGTGAATTCCGAGACATGAGTGAATTCGAAAGTCCCTGCTCGATGTTGTGACGTCACTTTATTACAGCGCACGCTATACCCAAAATTAAGCTCAAAAGCTATAACCCGATTACAGCTAAATAACGATCTAAAAAGTTTGGAATGAGAAATTTATTTTTTTATTCTATAGCAACAGATGAAAAGCTCGATGGTGTAGTGGCTAGCGCGTTTGATCTGCGACTGAGAAAGTTAAACGACGTTCGTAAAGGCGGGATATCGGATGGGTGGTAAATATTTTTAAGTCGATGATTTGATGATGATGATTTACGTCGATTACGCGGGGCTAAATATGGATTAGTAGGTAGATTAGTTTCATTCATTAGTATACTTGTGCTTTAGCACCACCAATCTGCTTTGGTTTCTATACTTGGACCCAGTACGGAATGATGGGTGGATTATTTTCAAACATTAATAATACCTGTGCTTTAGCATCACTAGCAATCCACTCTGGATCTTAAACGCGGGTCTGTAACAGTTTACTAAATAAACTGTCTCTCTTTTGAATGTTTAGCTGATGTGCTTATTTCCTTTTTACTTTTTAATACAAATTAATTTAAAGAAAAATAATTGTAGGTACATTGGTAACAATTATACTATGGAGGTGGTCAGACATGGGAGTGCAGCGCAGCTCATAGGGATGAAACAGTATATAAATGACTTCTCGCGCAGCAATACATTCATTTTTTAAGTGATTTTGAATTATTTGTAACTTTGTGCTAAATAACCCCGAAATCTGGGTTCTTCTACCGGAGTCCTCCTGACTTACGCTGCTCTACGTTGTGCATGTTGTGGAGTCTTCGTGGATCATCAGTTGTGCTGACCAAAGCTGACGTCGGGTCTACACCCTTGCCAGCCTATGTCCGGCCCGTGACGCTGACACCGTGAACTCAACACTAAATCCCCTAATTAAACTATAAAGCTGAGTCATCTTTATTCAAGAACCAAAACCATAGCCGGCGAATCTGAAACTACCCCCTGAGAGATAAAATAAAGTTTGATAAAAACATTATTTTGTTTTATTGCTCTTTTTACCTGAAAACTGGATGTGTGAGTGCTTCTCACCCACCATCTACAACCCTACGCTTCAGGCCCAATACAATCATGACTTCAAACTACTCTCTCGATTTTTATGAAACAAAAATCAAGTGTATTTTCAAATTGCGAAAACTACACGAAACTTCAAAAGATTTGATGGATCCATTGATATTCTACATTGTAAAAATCATTATAATTAAAGAAAGTTTTAGTACATTGACCACCAACAATTATTATAGCGCGAGTCTGATAATGGCCCTTGGCACAGAAAACACGCTCTATTGTTTTTGGTTCTGGCTAAAATACAGAACCAAAAACAATAGACTTTATAATAATAGATAAGAATAAAGGTCAAGAGTGAGTTGTGCACTTATACACAGATTATTTTCTAAACATAAGGAGACAGTACACGAACTGCCCGCCCAGATCTAGTTAAACACGGACGTAGTGCTTCATTACTCGTTATGATTTGAAATTGAAAATTATCCTAAAATAATTATTGGGTTGGCACAAAAGTAATGAGACACACTAGAAAAATCTATAACATTTCCTTTTTAAAATCAACTTTTTCGATAATATTCTAGAATGTTGTAGAACGTTCTAGGTACTTCTGGTGTAGGGTATATAAAGCCGCGCTCGCGATTTGTTTAGTCAGTTTGAAGAAAAATGGACGAGCGACAAGTTCGAACACTATACTTATACGAGTACTTGTTAGGCCACAGTGCGCGGGCTGCGGCTAACAATATCAACAATGCATTAGGCGCTGGAAGTACAAGCCATGCGACGGTGTCCCGATGATTTGACCGTTTTAAATCAGGAGACAGGAGCCTTGAAAGTCAGCCACGCTCAGGGCGACCACCCGCAGTGAATGATGACGATTTGCGCCGCGAACTGCAGTTGAATCCGGATGCTACCACTCGTGAATTAGCGGAAGCACTTAAATGCAGTCACCACGCCGTGGAACACCATCTGCATGAGCTTGGTTATCGAAAAGTTTTGGCTCGGTGGGTACCGCACATCCTTACAGACGCCAGTCGTGCAGTCCGTGTCGCTATCTGTCAGTCATTTTTGCTGCGACCCCGACGTAAAGAGTTTTTGTCAGATCTGGTTACTGGAGATGAATCATGGATTTATTACGAGAACGATACACGTCGTGCTTTTTGGCTGCCTCGAGAAGAAACGCCACCAACTCAACCGAAGCCAAGTCAAAAGAACCGCCGAAAAATTCTGCTTTGCTGTTTCTGGGATGCGTAAGGCATACTGTTTTATGAGCTATTACACAATGAAACTATAAACGCTGACAAATATTCAACCCAGCTTATCAAATTATCTGCCGCTATCAAGAAAAAACGACGAAGACGAGTCAATGTAGTTTTACTGCACGATAACGCTCGACCTCACGTCGCATCTGTGGTTCGCCGGCAATTGGAGAACTTGGGCTGGGAGACGATACCCCACCCACCTTATTCCCCAGACCTCGCCTCATCAGATTATCATTTGTTTAGAGCCCTGAAACAGCATTTGCGGGGTAAACAATTTAATGATTTCTCTGACGTAGAGGCGGAGTTGAACGACTTTTTCGAGGCACAGCCATCAGAGTTCTAGGCAAAAGGCATCCAAACTTTGCCGGATCGTTGGCAAGAAGTTTTTTATTGTAATAATAATATTTATGGTATTATGTGTCGGACCCTATATTATATTTATCAGAAGGTTAAATAAGAAAACACGTGCACTCTATAACTCCGTATATTAGCGACTAGTTAAAAAGTCTTTGTTCTACAGACGCTAACAAATTGTTTATAAACATCTTACAAACTAAACTGTACATGTACATGTAGGCATATGTGTCCCTACAATACTCCCCCTCTTACAATAAAAAATAAAAGTACACATCACATATTGTAAGAAATGTAAAAGAACAGTACAATAAAGAACAATAAAAATAATATACAATTTTTAAATAAATGACAATTAATTAAAGTGGTTGCCATATAAAATAATATGTAATATAAAACATTTAATTTTTATCAAATACAAATTCTTACTTTATTAGTAAACAAATTAAATTAATTTACATGTTTCCTATCAAAAGCTTGTCCCTACATAATACATAATAAAAAAGTGTGTGTCCCTACATAATAAAAAAGTAAAAACTTAAACCAAGTGTCTCATTACTTTTGTGCCAACCCGATAATATTTGATAATCAGAAATATAACTGAAAGTATTACTAAACGAAAACGGTAAATTGCCAATAAAAAAATTAAACTTTGCCGTCACTGTCAATGTCACAATAATAAAGGGTTATATTTGGGTACGATTTTAAATTCAAACTTTAAATTAACTTAAGTGATTTAACGACACGAATAAAATACGAAAAATGACTTAAAGTATACTAATTTAATGAAGCTTTAGCTAAAATACTTAAGATTTTCATATGTTATGACATTTCGGTCTATTTTCGGAGTTGAAATATTTAGGCCGAATTCTGATCAAAGGTTAAGGTTTTATATGGATTAACACTTGATTCGACTTGATTTCATCCTACTGTAGATATTACTGTCTATTATGGATGAGTTAAAGAACAGAGCTGGTGAGAAACTCGAAGCATTACAAGTGAGTAACTTTCTCTGTTTATATGTTTCCCTAGTACTTAACGCACCAATTCGAATGCCTTTCCACTTCTTGCAGATGTTTGTGTAACTTCAAAATAAAAAATCATAACAATCTCTGTGATTATTAAAACATTTGATTTATTAAATGTTCTGTTATGTACATAGTGCATTGACATTGACACCATTTCGCTAATACCTGTTGATATGTTGCGCTAATTTGCTTATATAATGACGAGAACAATGCTCAAATGGAATTTAGGCCGTTTTACATTTGAAATAAACTATTAATTAATCTCTGAATTAACTTTATAATTACTTTTAATAAAGGGTAACTTTACTGTTAATACTTTCTCAAAATTTGTTACTTATTCCAAGGAGCAGTACTTGCAATGTTATCTTATTATTTTAATCATATATGTAAGCGATCAGGGATTGATGTGTCAAGCTATATAAATTTATTGATTTCTCTCTATATCAGATATTTAACCTTTAGTTCCAAATTAGTATGTTTACTATGATTTTTCATAAAAATCTGTTCCATTTGTAAATGACACTCAAAGGTGTTAAAATAGACAGTAAGTTTACTGATCATAAAACAAGAGAAGATAGGCATCATAATAAAACGAAATAGTTATTTTATAAATTTTAAAACAACTAGCTGACCCAACAAACATTGTCAAACAATTCTGTGTCAAACGTCATAAGCTTACATTAAAAATTATCCAAATCACTAAATTTAGATTAGAAATTTTGTATGGTATAATTATTCTAAAATTTTAAATTTTTCTCTTTTAATTTTCTTATTTATTTTTCACAAGAACGTTCTCCTGAATATAACAAACATCTTAAAAAGAGTTAGGGTAACTTAGAGAACTATTTCTCTATCAGATATGAATTTTTTTTTATATCAATTGATAATTATATCTTTCTACCTTTCTGCCAGTGGCTTAACAGGTAATTAATGTGACATTAATTACCTTTTGTCTTTTTGTTAATGTCACATTAGTTACCTTTTTGTAGTTTATGATAATAGCTATTATAGTGGAATTATGTTTAAAAAAACTATCAAATGTGTTTTTTCTGATAGAGAAAATTGTGTGGTATAGACCTACAAAAACAAAAAAATAAAATGTGCCCTTTTTATTTAAAACATATTTTAATTGCCCTTTTTGCAATATACAAAGATATCACAGTTGATTTTTTTTTTTTTATTTATTTTGTTTGTATAATTTTTATAGTATAAAACAACAATAAGTTTCTATAGTTAAAGAATATTGTGAGTAACTACAGTTATTTATCAATTATCCAAATAAAAAAAATATTATTTAGCTAATTATAAACCCTGTTTTACGGTGGTATAAATATATTTGGAATTAGTTGACAGAGTAATATGAAAGGCCGAGATATAGGATCGACAGAGCTGTGCTGCGTATCATGTGGTGTGCAGTTCACTTATGAGGATTGTACAGCATGTGTGAAAATAGATGGCAACATGTCGCCCTGGTTAGGCGTCAATATTAGTGTCAGGCAGGGTCACGTGTTGTCAGCAAGGCTGTTTATGGTGTATTTCAACAGTTGTCTTCAGAGAATAAAAACTATGAATGTTGGATTGCAAATAGGTGATCTAATTGTTAACTGCATTCAGCAGCAGATGATGCCTTGGTGCTTGCAGAAAATCCAACTGATCTGCAAACTCTAGTCACAGTGATGAAAGATGATTAGATGATTGTATGATGAAAGGCCTAGAATTGAATGCGAAGAAGACAAAAATATGTTATTTGAAAGAGACAATACCAGAACAAATGTATGGATTATGGTTGATGATGCAGTACTGAAACAAGTGAATGACTTTGTATATCTTGGATGTGCTTTAAGCAGGTATGGAAGGTACACCGCTGACAAAAAGGAATGTGGGTGCTGGAAATTGTGTGAATGAAGCATTAAGAAAAATTATTGGCAGCAAAACTTTAAGCCAGAAAGCGCAGCTCTTTATACACAATGCAGTGCTGATCTCAACGTTAATGTTGTCAGTGGAGTTGAATATGTCATTCGAAATGCGTTCGTTTCATAGAATTTGTGGAGTAAGCTTACTCCACAAATTCTATGTTATATCCACTGCCAGCTGGCAGACTGCATTCAGAATGAAGAAATAAGTACGAGAGTTGACTTGAAAGATAGCGTTGGTGTAAAAGTCGACAGAAACAAGCTCCGTTGGTTTGGACATGTAGAATGTAGTTAGATATAGAGATATATTATAATGATATATCTATATCTAACTAGTCTTATAACTCTTGCTAGTCGAATTTGACTTTTAATTAATGGTATTAATAAAATCAAAATTGGGTTCACGCAGTTATAGTATTTCTTATAAGTCAACATCCATAGAACTTTTAGTATTCCATATAGTTATTCACTGCTGTATAAAGGTAATTGTCACAGTCATTTTCACTTGTTATGGAGTTGTAAAGATCGCAATCTTAATTAATTTCAGTGTGCTTTGTTTTCAATTTATGTTTCATTTATGTTTCAATTTATGTTGATTGAATGTTCAATATATTTGATTTTTTGCTATATGTTTTATTCCAGTTAGCAGCTAAAACTGCTGCCGATGGTGGAAAAAATAGAGTTCAAGATGTTTTTTCCCAGGCAGCAGAGAGTATTAGAAAGGTAAAAATTTTTACCTAATAGTGATTATTTTTCCTATTCAATTTGATTAGATTCCATCCATAGGGAACGCTTGAGCTCCAGAAGTAGGGACATTAATAGGCTACTGATTAATGACTATTTTATATAATTTTAGCATTTTGTCATTATTATATGCTATTTTTGTAAAGGCAAGTTTTATTGATAAAATATTTTTTTGTATTTATTCAATAAAAAAATCTATATAAGCTGCTTATAATTAATACATAAACTAATAAATTTAGCACTATAACCACTTAAAAAACTGGCCAAGTGTGAGTGACTCGTTGAAGATACCATTATATATTATATATAAAAAACGCAAAAAAAAATTGCTATAGAGTCCCCCTCAGACTGCAGTCTTTCCATCGGCCGAGAGTTTGGTTTATATGTATACATATATTTGTTCAATTTTTCTGTGTTAGCTCCATGAAGCGTTTCAAGAGCTTTGGCAAAACGAATTATTCGCCGAGTCTCGTCAAAGGGTGGTCGCTTGGACGCGTGAGGCGACGCAGCGGATACGTGAGGGCGCACTGCCATTGTCTCCAGTACTATTGTATGAAGAGCTTGTAGCACTATTTAAGGACAGAGGTACTTACAATTATGTTTAATAAAGTAAATATGTACAAAATAGGTGTCCCATAAAATAAAACTTTAGATTTCCAAGAAATTTCGCACTAAAAGAATCAGTTAAGCTACAACTTGAGGCACGTCTCAACAAAATTTACTCCACTTTTACCTTATTAAATTAAAACTGACTTAATTTTTCTAATACAGATCATAAGATCTTTCTTGATTAATATTATTTTCGTTATTAAAGAATAAAAATAATTAAAATTGATTGATTAATATTCTTAATGAAAAATTTGTGACCTTGCTCAATACTTTATCATGACATACCATATTTTAGTTCATTTCCCTCTTTGACTTCATTCATAGGGAAGGACTGAGCCCCAGCTGCTAGGTCCAATGGCCTGTATATGTTACAGCACTAGCAGTAAATACTATACGATACGAAAATAACTCCTAAAGTTTATAATTTTAATTTACCCTTTTATTTAATAGTATTTTGTCACTTTTTAAAGGTTTTTTGAAGTCGGGGTTAGTCTAACTGAAAATGATAATGTGTTATTCTCGTATTGTGTGAGGACAGTATGGCGCCGCAGCGTAATAATATTCGTGTGCGGGGCGGCATTGGGCGGAGGCGCCGGACTATGTGTAGGGCTCCGCGCAGGAGCTCGAGCTCCGTCCGGGCCGCACGCGCGAGCTCTTCACTCGCAGCCCGACCAGTCGGTCATACTGGTGGAGGACGCTGTAGCGCCCGGTGAGAACTTCATTTTCGACTTTACTTGCAATGAATTAAGGTTTAAAATAAAGTGTAAAAGTTTTACGGATTTGTATAACCTGATTTGCCGTTTACTGTACAAGGCGAACGGATTAACGTGCCACTTGACTAAAATTATTTGTGCGAAGTGCATCGTACGAAACTTTTATTCAAAGTACAGCGTACAAACAAAAACATATTAATGTATTTTATAAAAATGACATAAATAAGATAAATCATATTTTATAACAACTACCGCGGGCCGCTGCGCGTATCCTTGACGCCACCGGCCTACCCTAATAAAAAATAAAATAAAATAATACTTTGTTTTGTAGGCGCCGGCGCAGGTGAGGTATTGGTGCGAGTGCAAGCGTTTAGCGTTTGCCCTGTAGACCGGGGTGTATTACGAGGTCGCGGATCTACGCTCCGCTCGCTTATAACTAGGACCCAACTCACTGTCGGACGCGGTTTTGCAGGTCAGTTATAAAAGACAATTTTAAAAGTAGGCTTATATAAGGTATTTAAAATTATTATTTACCGATTACTACATAATCCGTTTTAAAAAGAAATCGAAATTTAACTTTTCAAAACTAAAAAAGAAAAACAGGTAAAAAATTTATTAACCTTCGTTTGAATTCGTGCGTGGATTGTACAGCCATGTTTTAAGCACCCTATTTGGAATAGTTTTTATGAATTTATTTATTTAAGCATTCAACAAACTTTCAACAGCGCTTTTGCTATTTTTATCAACAGTTTTAAGAATACCATATTGTCGCCAATTATGGAAACACATTCAGTGTTATTACAAATGTCATTAATTAATTGATCATAAGACGGGTACATAATAAAGAAAATGTAATTACATCGCACTATTACTATTGTGTATGAGTTTATATGTTTCTATTTTTCAAAATCCTTCATAGTTTTAATAACAAATGATATTACTTTAGAAGTTTTAGTGATATTGTGGAACATATACAGAAAAAAATCAATGGAATTAAAAAAAAAACCTTTTTATGTCAGTTCTAAATACGTCGTTATGTTAGTTCGCCGCAATATTTTTGTAATTTTATAAAGACAGACCGAAATGACGCGATAAGGTCTTAAAAAATTATGAAAGCGATGGACCGCTATTCGCTAAAAATATCACGTTCGTTTTCGTTGCTTATGCAGGCGTGGTATTGGACGTGGGTCCAGGCGTGGACTGCTTAGAGTTGGGCGATGAGGTGTGGGGTTGTATCAGCGAGTGGGCGGGGGGCGCGGCCGGGGAACTACTCACTGTGCGCAGGTAAATATATGTTACACATAACCACTCAACCACATTGAACGAGTAAACACTCAACCATTTGTAACACTTAACCACTCAACCACATTTAATGAATCACTTCAACCTCATTTAACATTTAACCAGTCAACCACATTGAACGAGTAACCACACCACCATTTATAACACTCAACTACTCAAACACATTGAACGATTAACCACTCAACAATTTATAACACTCAACTACTCAAACACATTGAACTAGTAACCACTCAACCACATTAACCATTTAATCATTCAACCATATTTAACAAGTAGCCAGTTGATGACTAATCACTCAATTGTATTCAAAATGTAACCACTCAAACACGCTTAATACGTAACTACTCAACTACATTTAACACATAACTGCTCAACTAAATTTAACAGATAACTACTCAACTACAACCATTCCACCGCATTTAGGTAATGGATAAGCTCAACAACATTTAACGCGTAACTATTCAACCATATTTAACTAGTGACATCCTTCCATTGGTTTCGGAGCCTTTTATGTGCAAATAAACAAACAATTAAATAATCAAATTTTTCCTGTTTATAATATAAGTACAGACTAGCTGTTCCCGTGACTTCGCCCGCATAAATATTATAGTCTATGTCTCCCGCGTATGATGATGCTTCCCGTAGAAATTTCATTTTCAGTGAAATTTCATGATCTGATTATATTTCCAAAGTTTACAGCCTTCAAACAATAGTAGAAAATTTAAATAAATTACGTATACTTTTACTTATATCAGTACAAGAGTATCGAAGCGGCCCCGTTCCGTTGCGGCAGACGGTGCGGCTACACTGCCCTGGGCTGCCAGCGGAGCCCTAGCGGCGTTGGAATACTTAAATCTCACCCCGGAGACTGCTAAAGGCAAGAGGTGATGATCTCATTATTATCTAGTTCCCGTAGGATGTGTCGATCCCTTAACATCGTGATAATAAATAATTCACTGTCAAGTCTGAATATTTGTTATAACCTTTGATAAGTTTATCTCTTTCCTCCCCCTTAAACTTAAAAAAATATGACGAAATTGCTTTTTTGTTTTAATTTTGAAGGCAGACTAATCATAATAGATTCATTATACTACGCATCGCCAAATTCATTACCGGCAGATTTTTCGGAAACTTTTAACTTAGAAATCAGACAGTATTGATTTCGAAGTTAAAAGTTTTTGTAAATGTAGCAAAAGGAATTGTTCAGTTTGTATGGGCACTTTGGCTTCGAGTGGACATTATCTACAGTTATAAAAAACGTTATTTTTTAATATTTCATATCTTAAGGAAGTTAACTGTTGTAATATTTTCACGGGAAAGTTTAAAATTGTATATATATAAGCATGTGTAGTATTCCATTAACGATGTAACGAAAAGGTTATTTTTTGTAACATACTTTAATTACCTTATCATCATATTAATTTATTTATGTTAGAAATAAGAAACAGAGATGTCTAAATAAAGAAATTGTAGATTTACACATATTTACCTTTAATTTGACAATACAATTCTACAAGCAAAAGACAGTACTTCTAAATACACATATTTATAAGAATAGACTTTACATAATCACTTAATAAATAAATTACACTGCTCATACAGTTTCTCTTCAGCTGGAGGCTAGCATTTGGGCAGTCAAAAAAGGCAGCTACATTTATATAAGTTGGTCACATGACGTCCTAATCTTTGAATCTTCCACGGCCTCTCCTAACATGTGCTCTCCCTCAAACAAGACTATTCTCCTGATTTGTGCTCACCCTCAAGCACAACTCTTCGGCTAGGAGCGGCTGTAGACTCACATTTACATCTGCGCCTATTAACAGAAAGGACTATTTTAAAACACCTATTCAGTACATTTGCACATAACTACTTAATAATAAATTAACATTAAATATTGAACAACTAGTTAATAGTAGCAGTATTAATAGTATATCATTCTGATGAAAGATGTAGCTTCCCAAAGCAAAAGAATTTTTTAAATCAATTTAATTTTAACTGAAGGAACTCCTGTTTAGACAGACCTTCAAAAGTGCATAATGTCTTCAGTCATTCCTTCAATATTGTTAAAATCATTGTAAGATTTCTTTTTTACAAATGAAGCAAAATCTTGTATAAGTTCTATAGTAAATGTATGAATAGTTTGCATGATAGACAACCATTCAGCCCAATTATTATAATATAAATGAGAATTACAGTCTACTGGTTTTTGGTACATAAAAGTTAAAATCAACAAACAATTTTACCTGAAGCCATCTGGGAACTGTCAGTTGCTGTAGTGAGTCTCAACCCGGAACAAAACATTATGCTTGTGAATCAGATGCTCTTTTAAAATCCGGCAAGGTAATGTTCTGTATAGGTTCTGGAATATTAGAAGGAACTGTCTCTATCTGCTCGCTGCCAACATGGATGACAGATGTGATCAGATCCATGCATCTAAAAGAGTATAGTATATAATTAAATTATTTGTCAACAAAATGTTATTTAACGATATGGTAGCGATATATTAATGTTTTTCATGTCATAAAGGAAGTTTAATTATAGTAATCATTAATAAATAAAAATAACTATAATCTTACCTGTCGTGGGGCAATCCAATCAATAATTTCATTTCTAATGTGTGTTTCTCTGTCGGATATTGTTTGCAGTAGATGTGATCTAGTACGTAATATAGATCTTTCACAATTTATACAAAGCTGCCGACGATATTACACGATTTAAATACATTCATTAAACCAAACAATTTTGAATTACCAATTCTATCTTTCTACATGGATTTACCAAAAACAACACGTTAAACGATATTAATACGTTATTTAAGGAATTATTTTATATAAACAATCATTTTAATAAGAATTATCACTCAAACATATTTGTTGACAAAGTGAAAAGGTGCTGCCATATAAAAATCATTAATCGATTAGAAAGTAATCGATTGTTAGTGTAAATTAACTTATATCTAACCGAAAAGGATTATTTGTTATGTTTTTAACATATTTGATACATGATTTTGCAAAAGATCACCTATTGTATATGCATTAATATATATATACTTTAATTACTTTCATTTGTATTTAAGTTAAATCTTATCGATTAATCGATACTATTAGTAATAGTACTTTAATAACATTTATTGATATGGAAACACAGTGAAACATATTAACAAAACACATCCGAATCCAAAAAATTCTTTTAAAAATAATATTTTTAATGTATAGTTTCCCATGACGAGAGTATAAAAAATATTTTTTTCAGTTTTAATAATATTTTACTGTTAACATAGTTTTTACTAATTAGCTTGTCCACCAAAAGCCAAAATTGAACAATTCCCTTTATAATCTTTATTTTCATTGTCTCAGAGTTGCTATTTGCGGGGCAGCAAGTGGTGAAGGTTGTGTTTTGGTACAACTGTTGAGCTCATGGGGAGCCCATCTCACAGTATTAGCTCCAAGGCAAGCCGCAATGGTGTTACAAGACTTAGGTAAGAATAGAAAATGTCGTCATCATCACCAGCCCTTTTACGTCCCCACTGCAGGGACTCAGGCCTTCCTTATGGATGGTTAAGGAGGATGGGCCATGACCCTCCACGTTGGCCCAATGCGGATTGAAGGGTATTAACGACTGCAAATGCAGCCGGGACCAACGGCTTAACGTGCCTTCCGAAGCACGGAGTAGCTCGAGATAATAATTTTTTGGTCACCCATCCCGTGACCGACCTTTCGAAAGTTGCTTAACGACTACGATCGTGAGCCGCGGCGCTCATCCAATACGCCACCGAGCTACTCAAAACAGCTAATGGAAAATGTATTTTAGAATATTACTTTATGGTATATTTTTGTGGTGTTGCGTTACCTTCAACTTGCGCATTACCATTATTCCTGCCTCATGACGATTATAATTAGTTTACAATAGCTTTAGTTATTTTTAATTATCATATGTGCCTTGTTTTGATTTAATAAAAAAAAGAATACATTTAAAATAACTTTTCTAAATTTCATAATAATTAAATTTTGTCGTATTCAAGCCGACGCATTGTGATATAGGAAACTATGTAACGTATATTCTATTAAAGAATATTGCGTCAAATTGTTAGCAGTATGTTATGGAATACAATTTTTCGACTTAGCGGGTTCTACAATTTTACGGGGTGAGATAGTTAATTGTATTATTACTGCAAAAACTCTTCTAATGATTGGATCATTTGCATTTGAACCAGAGCGTTACTATTAGTACTGCGAAAAACTCATCTAATGATTGGTTCATTCGCAACTGAAACAGAGCGATACGATTAATGCTTCGTTTGTATCATCGATTCTCAGATAGATTCAAGAGCAGAGAGCAAGTGTAGCGCGGTCGCCGAACAGTAAGAATTTCGTACAATGACCCGGCATTACATGTCTCTTTCATTCGTGCTCAAACATATCACTATTGCGCTCGCGCAGATCTAGCCAAATTTGTCGTAATAAAGTGAACCTTAAATGTTTCCGATATCTATCTACGGGCACAAAAGGTTAATGCACGAAATTCTTTCTGTTATGCGGCCGCGGAATAGTTAATGAGTGACGAATGAATATTAAAAATTACCTTTTAATTAGCCTTTGGAATATTTATTTTTTTGAAGAATGATAAAATGACGTATGGGACGTTTTGTTTCAACTTAAATAATAAATTAAGATCATAACCCTTCGTTGGAGATGATAGTTTCCAATGAAATATTTCGAAAACTGTGAGCTAATTGTAAATTTTTTATATCTGTTGTAATCCCTTTCAATAATAAAACGATTAGGATTTAAAGTCGCAATCACTTTTAGAACGAATGTTGATTTCAAATGATCAAGAAACAATAAAAAAATGCCTAAACCCATCGAAAGATTCCAGACAGCGCTTAGTTTGACATTTCTCAATAGCCTGCAAAGATATTGCCTCTGACGCTTGTTTTAAATATAATATAAATAAAATATTTACTACTACTTTCGAAATAGGGATGATTGCTGAGCAAAAAAGAAGACATTGTAACAGATCATAGAAAAATATTAGACACGTATTTTTTTTTCACTTCAATTGAACAGAAAATGGCATAGATAATAGGCATTAAATTTGAGAAGTGAGGGCTTGTTACATCACAACTACGTAGAAAATGTACAAACGTGTGACGTCATAAGACGTTTCAACTCGATGTATCTCCGGGATGATTGCTGAGCAAAAAAGAAGACATTGTAACAGATCATAGAAAAATATTAGATACGTATTTTTTTTTTTTCATTTCAATTGAACGGAAAATGGCATAGATAATAGGCATTAAAGTTGAGAAGTGAGGGCTTGTTACATCACAACTACGTAGAAAATGTACAAACGTGTGACGTCATACGACGTTTCAACTCTATGTTTATCCGCAATTTATTGATTATGCAAAAAATCCAAAAATACCTTTTCAATAATCAATAATCTACTAAAGTTCAATAATCTACCTGACGGACAAACAAATAAAAATCAGTCAACGTCCCTATTACATATTAACCTAAAATCTCGAAAAAAAATCTGGTATATTCTGGTAGTAACTTTGGCATGACTGGTTTAAACCGTCTAGGTGCGCAAGAGTTCGTAGACAGTGTAGAGTCGGGGTCGTGTTGGCGCGCGCTGGAGCAGGCGGGGGCGCGCGCGGGGCCCTGGCACTGCGCCCTCGCGTGCCCCGGGGCCCACGCGGGGCCCTGCACCAACCAGTCCGCCATACTCAAGTCAGTATACTCAACGACGACCATTACTGCAAAGCTTTTAGGTTCTATTAGGCTGTTCTTGTACAATAGGTTGCACGGGGAGCTTTGTATAAGTACCTTAAATATTTATTTATGATTTATTTGCCATTCGGTCAGAGAAGCGACTCCTTAAAAATCCGAATCCGACTCGTGTGTTCAGGTTATTTAATGTATTGATTATACGTGTCTCGGATATTCTATCACTATGTCAATTCGAAACACACTTCACTTATGTCACGAAAAGTTAATACTAATTCAAGTTTAAGCGGATGTCGTTATCGAAGTGAATTACCTCTGAGTGAATCCGAAGTCGAGTTCGGATTTTTGCGGAATCCTTATGACACTTTTGTACATGGATCCACTTGGTTACTGTAGTACAGGGTTGAACCTACACAGGCTCGCGTCCCACAAATGACTCATGATAGGGTGAAAATGGATGTGGATGTTTTTTTTTTGGTTATTATTATTATTATAGTATCTGACCAAGGGACCGTGATCATTCCGCGGTTTCCTCTTTACATACACTCGTACGAATCAAACTCGTAACAGACGATAAAGGTACTATTTTTTTTCTTATTTTGTTGCACAACTAACTGTGGTCCCGCGACTTAGCACGTGTAAATTATACTCTATGTCAACCCTATGTGAAAGAATTTTAAAAATCGGTCCAGTAGCCTATTCGGAGCCGATGCAAACAAACAAACAATCAAATCTTTTCTCTTTATAATATTAGTATAGATTAACTATAATATTATATCGCTAGATAATATATCGCTCGCCATACAATCCAATAGCCCAACACACACGGCTAAGATAATATAATATTCTCATATTATATAATTGAGATGCCAAGCGATACGGAAAAGTATATTTCATAGATTAAAATCTATGAAATATACTTTTCCATTTTTTCGGGAAGACCATTTTTGAAGAAATTTATGCAGTCTAGATCCTCAGAGTTCTATCGCAAAGGCATAAATGACTTTCCCATTAGATGGCAGCAATGTATAGATCATATACTATTTTGATTAAATAAATTTGTTATAAATAAAAAAAAAAAACAATTTTGATTTTCAGTACGAATCGGCAGTTTCATAATTTAACCCCTATTATTTAATATTCGACCGTGTAAATACTACCCTTTTTAAATTATGCCAGATGGCCTCGTACAGTTTGTGTTTGAAAAGCTGCTTAATTTGGTTTTATATTAGTTTAGACATTTTTATTTCAGTATGATATTTTTCTTTATGATACATTTGTGTGTATTGTAACAGAGCCACCGCAGCAAAGAATGCCATTGTGGATCTTAGACCGCAACCTTTCATATCAGATCGACTGCCGACACCACTCACTTTTGTGTATGCCGTCTCTTTCTACACCTTCAGAGCGTTAAGGGTGAGATTTCCATTATTAATTGTATAATAAAATATAATGGAATAGACTAATTTAAAAAAAGACGAAATCAAAAACGTGAAATATAATACACATCTAAAAGGTGGTGCATATATTTATGAAACTTCAATTGAAGTCGGGTTGAGGTTTGATTTAGGTTGTTAACATTTACCGCCTGATTTCAAAATATGTTATATGAACATATGGAACGCCTTTACATTATTTATCCAAAAGCACACATGGCAGTTTTCAAGATAAGAATTGCATATTTTATATACATTATGTTAAAATTTGTTTCATCAGCAACCCTATTACGTCCCTATTGCAGGGTCTTAGGTTTTCCTTATGCATGGTTAAGGAGTATATGTACCTACTATATATCAGGTACAATATAACATGTTCCTCTTTAAAAATACACTTTAAATTGCTTATTAAAACTTCTAATAGTTAAGGGCTGTAAATCGTAGGTTAAAAAAGTTTGAAACATTTTAAACTTTAACACTCTGTTACAATAAAGTTTATATCAGAAATAAAGTATGATACTTTATATTTAAATTGCAGTGGCTAGTGGGTATGGGCAGTCATACGGATTGGTTAGAAGATCCCCATAGATTGAGACCTGGATTGGAATATATAGCTGAGCTAGTAGACACCGGCCGCTTGCAGCCCGTTTTGGATAAGGTAAAGTAATTCCTCTATCAATTTATGCATTACTAGCTTTTATCCCGCGACTTCGCATATGTAAATTATAGCTTATGTCAACCGCGTATGATGTATGACCTGTAAGTGAATGAATTTTCTAAATCGGTCCAGCTACTGGAGCCTATTCGATGCAAACAAATAAACAAACAAACAGAATTTGAATAAAGTACCTAATTCATACTTAAAATAGTCAAGTAAAAATAATCTTGATTCAAATAAAGTTATTTAAAGTACTTTTGGATCGTCCAAATATTTTTACCTAGTATCCGTTCAGGAAGTCTTTTTACTAATGTTTACAAAATTTCGGAGGTATATCGCTAATGTTACAGTCTTATCTCAATAGACTGAATCTCTCAAGAATCTCAACAAATTACATTTTACCATTATTATAATTACCATTGCACCATATAACTGAAGTCCAATATTATCAGTGCTATGTCTTCCTTACACATCAATAGTGACAAGTATAAAATAATGTTACGGAGCGCAACGGCGCGGTTCGTCTACGCATTACTAGATGGCGTTATGCGCCTATCAATCGCGCTAACACTGTTGTAACCTGTGTCATAAAGGTAAATATCGGGTCCGCGAGAGAGGTACAGTCACTGGAAAAGAAAGAAACTGATAGCTGTTCTAGAAATTTGTGGTAATTTCTCGAATACACTGGTAAGGCCGAGGGCAACCTAGAATGTTCTAGTTCCTAAACTAGAATATTCTAGATATGGTATCGGCCCTTATAATAAACCGATTACTAATGCGTGAACGATCTACTAGTGTTGTGAAGTGACAATAGTGAAGTTAAACGTGTTGTGTGTATTTTATTGTTACAGTAATTTTTGAGATTTTTTAAATTAAAAAAACGTTACCTTTCATCCGAACCCGAACGTGTAACAATAATATTGGACTTCAGGTAGATAGTACAAAATGCAATTAGATCAGTCAGTAAAAGATTTAGATCCTATAAAGAGCAACTCAAAAGGATTTAAAAGTCGTTTAATAAGATATTGCTTTCAGTAACATAGACGTTTTTCCTGTTCAGGTTTTCATGCCTCAAGATTTCGAAAGTGCTTTAGCTCACGCATGCAACGAAGACGCAATAGGCACGACAGTCATCAGATTCCCTTAAAACAATAACAATAAAGATGAAATGATCCGATGCATTATCTGTATCATATTTGAGACAGATGGGAATATTTACATCACCTATTCCAATGTTATGGATTAAGGATAGAATTTGTTACAAATTGTTTTAGAATTTATTGTTAACTTATCAGCGATGAATGTTGAATGATAGTTCTGTATGTTATTTCGATCCAAATGGGTCTACATAAATATATGGACCAGTGGTTCCTAAACGGCTCATGGGTGTTGTCCCTATGAATTGTTTTTACCTTCCTTCCAACACCCCACATATTCTATGTTGAGACGGTTTCATAGTTCTTTTATTGAATTTGGTCTTAATTATTTTTACCCTAACAGAATAGCCGATTTTACCCCAGGTTAGGAACCGCTGGCCTAATCGTTTTGTTCATTTTAAAACTGCATAAAACGCGATATTTTTAAATACGCGAGCGCACTGATAAGAGATGAAAGACAAATAACGATAATATAAGAACAAAATCCTACTATACTTTTTGATAGAAAACCTTAGCCTCTTATATTTTAAAACTGACTTATTGATAATAATATAACACTGGTCATAATATTTTACGTGATATATTTAACCTCTAGTAATAATCTTTCAGTCCCATATATGGCCCATAAGTGACGACTACCGATATATGAGAAAAAAAAATCTACTTTTCGTTATTTTTACCAGTATTTTAAATCCCGGTATAAGAACAGGGCTTAAAAAGCTTAGTATTTTTGGAATCATGTACCTTTTTTCTATGAAGATAATATTTTTTGTATCTACTCTGTACTTTTATTTTATTGTCTCTGGTACACTATTATCAAAATTGACAAATGAGAATACCTACAGTATATCTACAACAATATTTATATACTAAGATATTTTATCTTCTGTGAATATTGTAAAAAAAAATATATATATATCGAAATTATATTCTAAATATTTTAATAAAATATAGGTTTTATCATTTCTAGATTTTAATAGATTGTAATATATGTAAATTTGATACTCTGGCCTTGGTAAATCTCAACTGAATTGCAGTTCCTATTTTGAAGTAACCATTTTTTTTTCAAATTATTTCTTATATATTTTCTTAAATATATTTCATAATTTGACTGTTATTCTTTTAAATAGGAATTTTATTGTTATTTCTTGGAGATTTGTTGATATTTGAGGACACTTTTAATGTTGTTTTTTTTTCAAATACCGCTGTTTGCAACCAATGTGAAATTTATTTATTTGTTCCTTAGTATAATACTTACTTTGGTACATAATTGTGTAAAATAATTCTTTGAATGCCATAAAATACATAAGAATATGCCAAAAAGTTGTCACAACAATCTAAAAGACTGCATAACTCCCAGAAGAATTCACTAGATCTGTAGATATAAAATAATGTATAAAAGCTTATTGTAATATATTGAGAATGTTACAGGTGCTGCTATGTTAGAAATGTATGATTAAAAAAATATATTAGACAGAGGCGAAACTTTAATATGAACTGCAAATTCTGACAGTCTTTACAATTTTACGAACTAGATTCGGACTTCGCCCGCCATAGTTATAGCATATACGCGGGTAATCCGCGTATGATGAAGGTTCCTGAAAGTAAAGATTTTTTAAATCAGTCCAGTAGTTTTTAATTATATAAAATGCTAACAAACAAATAAATCAAATATTTTCTCTTTTCACTATTATAAAGAGTATAGAAAAGAAAACTATTCGCAAAACGAACTAAACATCAAATAAAAATACTATAAACAGTAGCTAATATAAAACCGAAAACACACTATAATAAATTATTATACTGAATACTGACACGAGATCTAAGCAGATTCTAAATCTTGGTATAAACGACCTAAATATCTTAATTGTCATTATGTTGGTCGTATATTTCTTGTAAATGGCATGAATAATAAAAAACTACTATTTCATATATGCCACATACGAGAATCTTGTCTCAGTCGTGTAATTTATATTACAGCGAATAAATTATATTCTACTTTAGGAATATTAATAATCTGTAGTGCAACATATCATAAATGAATATGGGCATATGGACAATAAGAAAAACCAAAATGATCAAATTTAAACGCACTGGTGCCATCTAGTGACATTTAAAATAAATAAAAACGTCGAGTTAATTAATTTAATTCAATATTAGTTATTATAAGAAAAGCCTAAGTTTTATTTCAACTATTTCTCAACTTATTGTATTGTCTATATTATTAATAATAGATTTTCATTGATAAAAAAATACATAAATGCCTTAAAGACATTGCCAAATGAAAATCTACTTTTATAATGTACTTAAAATATGGAACATAAAGTAACTAATTGTATATAACAACTATGTCACAGACTATGTTCAGTCGTAAGAGAAATTTATAAAATATGGATTTGACTGTATATCTATAATAATAGGAAGTATTTAAAAATAAAAAAACTCCTCCACTAGATGGTGACTCTAGCGATAGTTGATTTTTGCAGGAAACGAATGGACCAAAGACAGTAATTTCTGTTCCTTTTAACTAAAATATTTAAAAAAAAACTGAAATTTGCAAAGTTCGAAACTTAGATATCAATACAAATACGAAAAAGTACAAATAGAAAATGAGTTGTTTATTGAGTTTTGAAAACTAATTTACTATTAGACATGAAAGAAAACCGGAAGGGTGGCCATGGAGAAATCAAGAAAATAATGTTTAGAAAATAAAATAATGTTCGCCAACTATTGTTTTTATTTTAAATACTTCCTCATTTAAAAAAAAACTAGTTTGTAAACACACTCAGTTTTATTGATAAAATTCATTTCAATAGTTTATTGACTGTTGAAAATAACTTAAAAAGAATCTGTAGCAATATATTTCTGATATGAAAATCATAATTTATGTACTTATCCTTACATGGTCAATAATAATTTTGAGTAAATAAATCTCGATGTTTATATATAATACTAATATCTTTCGTGTCAAATTAGACAAGTATCCTTAACGACTATTTGGATTTTATATAAATCACCTTGATCAACTTTATGATAAGTTTTAACCATATTAAGGTGCTCAAATCGTTTATTAGATATCTAAACTATTTATTACTTGGACATTGTCCGGAAATTTTGAAACATCTCTGTAAGGATAAGTTCAAATGCATTTTTGTTATGTCATTTAGAATGCCCTGTCGTCATTTTTATGGGAGTGACAGTCCATTGACATGAGATGCTGGCAAAAAGTCCATTTAGTTTAGTTATACATAATTACCAAAAATTAATAACTTAGATAGGTAGTTATCAAAATGTTATAGGTATATTAAACAAATAAATTGTTGTTTTCAATAATTGTGTTTTTTCTGATTATCCCAAACTAACATTTAATTATAAAATAAATACAATCGAACTCGTTGCATAGTCATTCAATCAGCTTTTTCTTATTATTTTAGAATCTATCGCCCCTATTTCAACAGAAACTGACAAAGACAGTAAGAGTCACCTCATTTCAAAAATCAAGAAGGGTCTTTACAAGACAACAACACAAAAGGAATAGACAAAAATTTTAATGAATAAGAATGTGAATCTTATTTCATTCAAGTTCTTGTCTTTTTGTTAAAAATATTTGCTTCGATAGGGATGACGACTAATTTTTTTCTTTGTTTGTCCGTCGGATAGATCATTGGAAAATATTAAACACGTATTTTTTTTTATTTTTTGCGTAATCATATAATTACGGAGATATATCGAGTTGAATGTCGCATGACGTTATGCTTTCGTACATTTGTGACGTAGCGTTTAATGCGTATCATCTAAGCCACTTCTTGTTTAAATTGAAACAAAAAAATACGTTATTAATATTTTTCTATTATCTGACTGACAGACTAAAAAGAATTTCTTTTTTACCCAATCGTCATCCCTGTTGTGACGTTTTCTCAAGATATCACTTCTCTCGATTATAGAAACAGCCGGTTTCTAAATTCAGAAAAGTACGAAATCTCACCTGATTGTTTTCAATAACTTTAGGTATTTTAACGTTTCACAAGTCAAAAAGTTCTAGTTTTATCACTGCTATCAACTGATCATTTAAAAGAACTGAAATCAGTGACGAAAATCGGCTTAAGTGACGTTTAAGTACAGTTTGAGAAGCTCTTAACTTTATGTTTGATTTCAGAAATCGGGCATAAGAAGTATAAGAAATAAAACACTCATTTTATTGCCCAGTCCACATTTATTAGCATTAAGACACAACCTATATACGATCGTATCGCATAACAATAAGTACAATAAACCACCGAGACATTATTACACATGAGAAAATATACAAGCTCTAATTCGCGAATCACAAATGAAGTCTATTACAACGGTATAAGTATCATATTAGATAAGTTACCAACAAGTCTACAGAAGAACAAATAATAGTTGCCGCTGTTTTAAGATATAAAGGTGAATCATCTTAAAAAATGTTACGGAACGAACACATTTAAAGAATATAATTTACAAGATACATAGAATAATGTATATATACAGACACAGAGCCAAGTAATCGTGAATCAGAACTTGGTTTAATATCATTTTTAGAGTAAGAAATTGTTCCATAACCCGTCATTATTCAAATAGATTTCCTTCCCTTATTTCCCCATCATAAATCCCATTTAGTCTTGAAAACAAACTATCAAAGTCCAAAAACGTTAAAAAGAATTAGCGGAGTTGTTTGCAAGTATTTATTTTTTACTACATAATACCGGCGTCTACAAATTAGTGGGAGAAAAATAGAGCCGGTAACGTGATTCACACATACTTATTTACATAAACTGGGTCATTAAGTATATTTATTTTATATACAAAATTGTGTCAGCAATATTCGTTTGCGCAAAAGAGTAAAATATAGATTTTAATGCAATACATTAAGATTTACAACTCGCAACATCGCATTGAACAGGTACGTAACAACCAATAGCAAACGAACATTTTTACACCTTTTATAAATTTAACGTCAGCGCAATTG